CAGAGCAGGAAAAAAAAAAAAAAAAAAGGAATAAGATGGAACTAGAGAAATTAGTAGCGTAGATCATCAACCCAGATATCCTGTGCAGACCCCAGTCGCATGATGGGGCCCTGCTGTCGAACTACTGGGCTTAGTTAGTCATAAGGGGCCAATAACTGCGGGAGTTGCAAAGAACGGTTCTTTGTGAAGCGCAGCAACGCTAGACGAGGGGAGGATATGCTAGTCAACAAGGTTCTAGTCTTTCCGGTGGAGACGATCTAAAATCTCTTAAAACTGGAAAAGCTGTCTCTTAGCACATTAGAGCCTTGGACACTTTTCGAGGCACGAGTAGGTCTTGCATGAATGATGAGAGATCAGGCGATCGACGGTCCGATCGAAAATCACTGTTGGTCGATTGCTCACCGACACGACCGACAGCACGGAATTAGGTATGCAGCGTGCACCAGCTGCCATAGAGTAGAATCTGGAATGGTAAGAATGTGGTGCTAATCTCGAGCTGAACTGCCAACCAATGACCGAAAGCCGGCTGCTTTTCCATCGGCGGCTCCCGGGACAAGGTACTTTAGTTTCGAAAGGGTGTGGACTGTGGAGAGATCCATGACGCGGAAAGAAATGACCCATAGAGACTGCATACACACGGAGTGCACAGCATTGTTTTCCAGAAATTCGAGCATCTGGCCCACCGACAAGGGAACGAGACAGAAGACAGAAACTCGGCGTATTGTGGAAGGGTATTACGGGTAATCACACTGGATCCTGTGAAGTGACCACACACACTGCTTCTTTTTAGTGAGGGATCATCTGGTGGCTGAATGATCATCCAGGCATGCAGGAAGCTAGTTGGTTCGAATGCAATTTTCATCGTCCTGGAGCGGATGACAAGGTCATTTCATTGGTGGAGTGCCAGAATTTGAGATTACTTGGTTTGAGGACCAGGCTGCGATAATAATGGAGGGGTGGGAAGGATGTTGTGCAGGATGATTGTCCCTGAACGAATCCCATAGTAACATATTACCTAGTACAAGGGAGAGTGGAAGAGGAAGTGGGGAAGAGGTTGCATCCTCCAAGCAGGGGAAATAGTATGGGGATTGTCATTGGGGAAGTTCCAATAATATTAATAATTAGAGCTGAGAACACATGGTTCTTGTGAATCACTCACATTCTGATCTATTTCAAGCAAAGAAGATCTGAGCCATGATAATGGTGTTGGTGGTGGTTTAATCAGATGTTGATGACGATAGTGATGACGGATGTGATGGTGCTGCGGGTTGCTGAAAGGAGGAAAAAGAAAGTGCAAGTAAAATGCCTGACTGCCCTGTTGTCTTCCACAAGATCTCAAGGCTGTCCTGACTATGTCCAGCAGCTCAATAGAATGAGGGGCGCTGAGTGTGCTCTGTAGTGTCCTCTTCCATTACTTGAACTCCTAACTACTTCTAGTTAGTCAACTAGTAGTTTGCCTTTTAGTTTCAGTTTCAATCATAATCAAAAATTATGGTCCATGAACTACCTTAGTATTACGGAGTACTGAGACTACGTACTGACTAGCGGACTACTACCTACTGATTCCACCTGTAGACTAATTCTGATTAGGGTCCCATGGCACGTGCACTGGTAGAAAGTAAACAAAGATTACCTGAGGTAGTAAAATACTAGCCTGGACGGATGGCTAGGTAGTAGGGTACAGTTCTGGGTGCAACCTTACTTAGGTATCTAAGGTAAGTACAAAGTACCTTAGCTCTCCAAACATCCATTCCAGACTTTGAATGGCCTGATCAGCGTCTCTAAATTCCACGCTGCTTATGTCTTCATTGCGAACAATCATCATGACCTCATCTAGTCCTTTTCAAAACCCTGCATTTCATCTACGCTAGTTGTAAGATTGTTCCGGAAGTCTTCGTACGTTCTCCTCTTCCTGAGTATCTATTGTTGGTCTCAGCATTTCCTTTGTGGATATCTTTCTTCTCCAGTCGTCATAAGCGCCAAGAGTCGAGAACTCATTCATGACTTTCGAAATTTCGGAGGCTTGATAGCTGACACATCCTGGTAGCCGCTCTATTGCTCTAGTGTCTACACTAACTATGGAGATGAGAGAACTTTAACATTCCGTCTCGATGGTCCTCCACTAACCATACTTAATTTCCACTACGACTCAGAGTCCCCACTTTGCTCTCCTGATCTAGAGGTCCGGATTGCCTAGAAGCCTTCTTCCAGGAGGCTCAGAGACCCATTTTACGACCCTCGAAAAGACCAATTCTCATTAAGGTTCGAGCAATGCCTCAATTAATTCATCGTTGATGGCTAGAACCATGGTCTTGTCCATTGCCCTTGTCGGAATTTGTTCAAAATCTGGATCGTTTGGAAATAACTAATTTTACCCATCAGGTACCTGGCAGGGTCGGAGTGCTCGGACGCTACCTGACTCAGAGCTCTATCCGCCTTTCAATGTTCCGTCAACAATCTTTTCCGGCTCTACAGCTTCTTCGGTACTGGTGGCAATGACTCCTTCTCCTGGTAATTTCCCCTGTGCAACAATAATGGGCAACGGAAGTGGAGCTGCAACTGGCCGGTGATAACGGTTGACCAGAGCTCTGAATGGCAGCGATGGGTATAATGGGAAGGACAACATGGCTAGCAAAGTCCAGGACAGCAACGTACCCTCTCTCAGAAGAGGAGGAGGAGTATTGCTCTGTAACAGTCACCACAACCGGGGATAGTTTGGAGCATGCTTCTGAATTCTGATCTGGACACCCTTGCCATTGAGAGCATTTGCTCGCGGGATTACCAGCCCTGAAGTTTGGAGAAGCATAGGCTATAACAAACCATACCAACAATCTACCCGTCTAAACTAATCCATACCATGACGGTCTCTCTGAGCACTGTGTACAAATTAACTAAACATGGCGTTCCATTCAAAACCCAGCACAACTCGGATCCGAAGAGGATACAGATTCACGGGGCAGATGCCGGATGTGGCGTAGCCCTTGACGTCTTAAACAGATCCATGCAAATCATGTCGAGCGTCTTCAGAGATCTGTCGCTTTCCGTGCAGTTTGGCAACCTGATCACACTAAGTGACGGTCTTGCGGAAATCACCCGCCTGAGGTATGGACTTTCTACTTACATCAGATACTATCTAGTAGGATATCACTGACATAATCGAGAATTTGTCAGGCTTCTAGTCATTCGCTATTTTCAGAGATTACCCAGGTTCTCCTCCTCCCGTGCCTTTCAATACCCTTCCCCTCGCTATACTACCTATATCTTGTGCTGTTCTCCTTCAGGGGTGCGTGGCGAACCAGGGATTCTTCGTGGCTGGAGACGGTCCAAATTATGCATTGTCTAAGCCCAATACGTCTTGTGCGACGTGATGTAGTCAGGCGCTATCCGAGGACGAAGCCCTCTAATGCAAGTAGATTTGACTGACAGACCCACACTAAATCATTCGGTGGTTGGAACGAAAGGACTGCAAGCCAAGATGACGCACGCTTTCCTGAGCTCCCCTCATGGCCTGGGCGATCGGGATAGTCGACAAGTCCACGGGTTGATCTACCAAATCTCGGAGACCGGAAATCGAGGAGCCGATGAGATTTAGGTTTGTAAACTGTTCCTTTCGAGTGCGCTCACCAAGCAGATTCGAGACTTTGCTTCAAACTAACTGTGTCAGGGTAAAATACGGTCGTTTTCGCTCGCGTATGGCTTGGACAAAAGGCAAGCCACGATACCTGGGTCGACATTCTTGACACCGATTGGATGGAGTGGACACTGGAGATCATTCTAGGGGCCGATATGCTGACTCCCGCGAGACTCCAGAACCTCCGCTCTTTGGACCAAGGGCTGCTTGTCCCAGAAGCGCTAATGCTGTACGACGCTCTGCTCCAAAATCTGCTCAGAATCGCGTCTCAGGCCGTCATTGTTGTGTCCATGGTACGGGACGTTGGCATTGTCAACTACCTAGCAACCCTGATGACAAGCTTCGTCTGCAATGTAACAGGTGTGGAAGGCCAAACTGATTGGATGATACTCCTGACCGTTAGTTCCAGAGAGACAGTTGTTGATCTGGGCTATACATACTGCACTCCACAAATTGTTGGTGTCACTCTCGGATGAAACTTGGATGCAACACTGTTGACCCTTTCATTCTCTGATGGGCGGAGTCTATTCGCTTTCCGTTATCAAAGCTTCTGACAACTTACCCCTTCGGGTCATTGCTCATTGAGCGAGGTGTCGGCTTCACAAGATCCGTGCCAATCAACGAATTATGCTCCCTATCTAGGCCAGCATGTCCTCGTTCTTTACTGGACAGTGGGGAATCCTTGAGCTCTTTCTTGCCAAGATTCAAAGATACACTGCCTAGCTGCTGCTGACAGTCGTGGCGGCAGTACCTCGCCCGATGGAACTTAACAACTGTCATTCTAGACGTGTGGAGCGTAGTGCCCACTTTGCTTAGAATCTGAGGAGTTGACCTCCAGTCGGCTTCCTGTTATCCTTCCCAAATCAGTAGTATCATTCACTATACACGGATTGGAGTTCACAATTTCTCCGAGGTATCTTCCGCCTACGGGTGAAAGGAACACCCGCCCTGATGTTGCAGAAAGCTGCAACAGAATAGGCAGTACCCCTCCAGCGCATGACACTCTCCTCCAGAGCAAAGGACCAAAGGAGCAGGGCCGTCTACGCTGTGTAGTACGTCCTAGTCATGCTAAAATAGAGGCTTGCACTTCAGGATTAGAGACTATGACAACTTTTCTCAATTTTGTACGCTTCCAATCCAGATAATGGAAATGGTGAAAATATAAACCCTCTGAAACGATAGCTTTTCTTTGTATCCAATGGCCGCTCGCCTCGAGCAAGCAAACCACACGACGCATGTCTTTTTATAATAATCATTATCGACCGAGTCATACAGTACAAAGAAAAAAAAAAGGAGGAAGATCTCATGAAGCGAGCTCTGCCTGACGAAAACACCCAGGTGCCGTGAAAGGAAATCAGGAAGTGAGTATCTAAGTCGCCCTCTTTGCGAACTCGACGCGCAGAATCAAGTGACGGTAACCAACTGCAGAGAGAGCGAGACATTAGCGGCCGCGTTACGCAAGATAAAACAAAAGAAGGCGAGAGGGGAGCGAAACGTACAGCCATCCATTTTTTCGCAAGCACGAGCAGCATCGGTCCGATCTGCAAAGCTGATGAAAGCGAAGCCCTTGGCTCGCTGGGTTTCTCTGTCTCTGGCAAGGAAGACTCTGGTGACGCGACCGAAACGCTCGAACAAATCCCGAAGTTCTGATTCCTCTGCCAACTCGCTCACCTATAGAAACGTAAAAATCAGTATCTACCCGGGACGTAGAGCAGACGGACGGAAGGCGAAACTCACGTTTGTAACTCTCAGAGTCGCCAGATCGTCCTTCTCGTACTTGCCAGCCATTCTCTCGCCACCAGCAGCAGCACCTTTCCGCATGTGAGGAGGCACGTAACTCGAGGTTCCAGCACCAAGGCCACCAGCAGCCGGGACATCCTCAGCGCCGGGCTCAGCACCAGCCGCGCCAGCGGTCTCGTCGACAGGTGCCATGGTATCCTTGAACGGACAACGAGCAGTGAAATGCTCTCCGCTGCAAATACGACACTTGACCTTCTTGTCCTTGAGCTGGTCCTTGATGCTGCCCTTCTCGGGGCCGGCCTTCTCAGCCTCCGCAGCCTGAGCCCGCCAGTTCACACTGGGTCTGAATATGATATTCTCGCCGACGGAGGTGGTGTCGAACGAGGGGCCCGCGGCGTGGCCCTTCTCGAGCCCGAACTTGGCCCACGACCGCCGCTCCGCGACCTGCGGGTTGACGTGCTCCCTCACCACGGTCGTCTTGATCCGGCGGGTGACCTTGACCTTCTTGCCCTCGTCGTTGAAGCGGTACGAAACAACGGTCTTTGTGCCATCTTTGTTCGTCGTGACTTGTTGCGCGGGGAGCGCGGAGGGGTCATCGAACTCCTCATCGTCGGCCCAGTCGGCGGCGCGGCTGGAAAAAATGAAAAATTACGGTCAGAATCAAGGCGGGAATAGAACGCGTTCAAAAAGGTATACTCACTTTCCTAGTCTGGACATTTTGTGTGATATGTGGTGACTTGATGTCTGTTTGCTGAATTTCTTGGATTTCCACGAAAGGCGAATCCGTTGTGGATTTGTTCGGAGTGGCGCAGAATTTGTGGCGCGTCCGCTGTGGCTGCTGTCCAGGAACGAGAGTCACGTGGATTATACTACAGAGTACAAACAATCAGATGTGCTTTACTTTTCAATGCATCATCAATGCATTTTAACTTGGTTGCTTTTGAGGAAAGGCTGAAAGTTTCTTAGTGAATTATCGAGATACTGAGTTCTTGTCAATCCTTGTCTTTGATGACACAATATGTTGCTTGTTATTACTGGCTGACATGCACCTTCGCTGCCGGGGAAGACATGACAACTAGATTGACTCTTCAAGTCTTGTAATGATACTTCCTTCCGTGGCTGACGTCTCTATACTCACCCATGAGTGAGGGTGCATTTTCTTGTACACTGGACACAGAGCTTGCCAGTCTAACCTTGAACGCAAAGACTATATACACAGTACCGACAGACCACCAGCACTTGATACAGGAATGTCAGAAATGGCAAAGATGAGCCTGAGAATCTGCATGAGTGCCGATGACCCCTTCAGTGACAAAATAATGGATATCTACAACGAAGCAGACCAACAATGAACTACATCCTCCCATGGCAAGGACCTACTCTTGAATCAACAACATTCTGTCGAGACTCGCATACAAACTATCAGTGTGTGAAATTAGTTGCACCTATATACATGAAAACCAGTATCACGCTATGTCTGTTATGATTCACGGTCGGCAAACAAGACCAGGTGATGAAACGCGACAATCGTACTCTTATCAGTAAGAGCATCACTGGAATTACCGACCGAAAATCTTCATCTCGATAGGTCTCAGGACGGCATACATCACAGCCGAGAAAGCGAATCCCAACTCAAAACCAACGTCGCCGCCGTATGGGGCGTTACCGGCATGTAGAGCAATGGGTCCGACCCACCATGATTGGCTCATACCGGTGATCATACCAGCCACGCCGAATCCAAAGGCAATGGAGGCAGCGATTCCAAGGGGAAGCTTGTCGCGCTTGTCGTAAAGCTCAGGACGATACCCACCGAATCCACGCTTGAAGAGGAAATGGTCGGTAAGTGCAATGCCAGAGTAAATGGACAACCAGTACGCAATGAAATTCATAAAATTCTCCAACACAGTTTCGAAGTGGGAGTATCCGGGAATGGCAATAGCCACCGAGGCACAGGAGCCCAAGAAAACCCAGATGAATCTGGGTACGCGCTGAGAGTAGCGGCTCAGAACCTGAAGAGTCAAGGCCACCGAATAGATGTTCGGACAGTTGTTGGCAATGATGGAAAGTGCAAGGATCACGAGACAGAATTTACCGAATCCGCCCAGAGGCTCAAGCACAGCATTCAGCAAGCCTCCGTTTCCGGAGGTGTCGTAGCCCATCTGATACTTGTTATTGCCATCGTCGATTCCTGTGGCGGTCATGACCGCAATCCCCAGCATCTGACAGAACAAAAGGGGAAGGATTAGGCCAATCCATGCCGAGAAAAATATCTTGCGACGACTCCGATTAGCGGGCTGGTACACAGTATAGTCGGCGGCATAGCTGGTCCATCCAGTAGCGAAACCGTACACAGTCGAACCAAAGGACAAAACACCGCCCATTTCAGATGTTCCAACTTTCATTGGGAGGTTCCTAAACTCTCCCGAGTGGGCGAAGGTTCCGAGAACAATCATGAACACGATGAAGGTGGGGATCCAACTCCAGTATTCATAGGCATGCACAACCTTGTACCCAGCAAATGTGATGAGAAACGTGCAAAAGGCAATGATAAGAATGCCAGCGAACCCGGGTACATCGCCGTTCACGGCATTGATGAGCTGAGCGCCGACGATGGCGTTGGCAGCGGACCAGCCCACACAAGCGAGCACATTCAGAACAGCAACTGAAGGAGCGAGATTATCAGCATCTGCTACTTTGGGACGACCGAAGGGAAATCAAGCAAGAAAATACATACTGAACTTGGTGGGCCACCAGCCGAACCAGAACCTCGAAAGCACCATCTGTCGCAGCCCAAAGGCAGCACCGAAGCATGAGAAAAAGCAAACGGTCAAGATACCCAAGAGATTGAAGAAGAGGCAGGTGAGAATTGCATCGACGAAGCCGAGATGGAAGAGTGACTTGGCCAGGACGCCAATGGCGAAGGAACTGACCACCATGTTGGCCGCCAGCCACTATGTTGAGTCAGTCTTGGACATGGGTCCAGCGGCGCCAGCCCGGAGCTGGCAAGCCATGAAACAATTGCAATTAGGAACACACCATGCTGCCAATGTTGAGATAGGACGTGTCCGTCCGTTCATCGGCCGGTACACGTTCTATACCTCGCTGCTCAATGTTGAGCTTTCCGGCCAGCCGCTGAAGCCTGGCGTACAACGAATTGCCATACATAAAGGTTTCCCCAGGCACAGCACCATCGCTGCTACTGTCGAAAGGCCTCTTTTCTGCCTGGGGAGCTTTCTCAAGGTCGTGGTCAACACCACCGAACATTATGATGGACTTGGTGCGATTGCACCGTGTTTCAACTGGGTTGAAACAACTGAGTTAATCCTCACCACGAAAGGAGGAGAAGTGAAGTTAACGGTAAGAGTAAAGGGAAGAGCTCTACAAGCTCAACGACCAGGTAAGGTGAGAGAGAGAGAGAAAGACGTCCACATCTTTTCTTTTTCTTTTCCTCTTTTTTTTTTTCTGGTCTCCCAGAGGATGGGTAAAGAGCCGATTAATATAGGTACTTGTTTCGCGTGCTCAGATAAAAATCTTTCCCACACAGCTCAATCCTCCCGGGGCCCACAGTGAGACAAGATCTTACCAAGAAGCACTCATGATAACCCTTCACTGAAAGCCCAATTTGGTAACGAGACCGAACACCCAGCCGTCACATCCACTAGGCAGACTCCACAACCGCGTTCAATTGAGTGGCTGGATATCCAAGTCGCGTGTCCTGCAGGAAATCGCAGGTTAAGCATTTTTTCCTTGTTTCGAAAAGTCTCGGGTCCCCGCTTTCGTTCCACAAAGAAAGGGCGCGAGCCTTCAGTTACACCAATCATACCTTGTAGTTTCTCGACACATCGTCGCTAAGCAAAATTAGCGTGACATGGACTTAAGGTGGATTACTATGTATAGTATTCTCATTGGATATACCACTATCTGCTCCCCACCTGGACCACGAGTGGTAAGAGAAATGCTGATAAGGTCTCCTTCTCTGATAGGTAAATCGACATTCCCGACACTAGGGGAAGGCAGAGAGAGGTAGGTACTGCGTACTGTCGATGATAACAATCTTGGACATATTGTACCTGATAATTATGAGCATCCCTTGAATCCCATGTGGAAGACATGTTATCTATCCCTGTTATCTGAGCATATTACCCCGGAAGATTGACCTACCTCCTTGTCGTTATCATCCAGAGCATGGATGACGCCGACAGTTTGGACCTTCTACTTGGCATTTCTCTGCGTTATCTATGCTGCTCAGCTCGTACATTCTGCATGAGTCCTCGTATCTAATGAGGAGGGTAGCATAGGTGGTAACCGTCTTCATTAACATGTGCGTCATTGCTCTCCGAGAAGCCTGTCATAGTGATAAGGATCGGTTTTATCAATACTATAGTGTCTTGGCATATCACGGTTCCATCCATCTCGACCTGCATCATTCGTTCCCCAGATTTGTACCCCGGCATTGAGGGGTTGCTGTAAGCTAAACGTTCTCGGAAACCTACGTCCTTTATTGCTAGGATAGCGGTGATCGCCGTCCTCCATTTTATGCTTATTAGGGTATCTCTGATCTATCATCTGACGCAGGCGAAATCTTAGCTACATATGCGTTGCTTTAGAAACGGGCATTAGCACAAACTGCAATTAATCTCTGCCATGGCCTTCATTGGGTATTGATGAAAGGACAGCCATCAATTTTTGAGCTTCGAGATCTCCGACCTTGTGACTGTATTGAGATTGAGGCAGGATTGCACTCATGGTGATTGATTGGCCAGGGTCGAAACCATCGCTTGTTACTGATCATAGCAGTCATCTAGCGGAGAACTCTTTGGGTATCATTCATACCTATTAGCGAGACGCGTCTCAAAATTCTCTGGTTTCTACAGGCTGAACCACAAGGATCTCCTGTTCACTCTTTCACACAATTCACAGCTTCCAGACCTCACACAGCATAGACTTGTCCTCCAGATCCGATGAAAGGTTCAGGATGTCTGCCATATTGGCCTCGAGACTCAGCCCTAATGCTGGCAAGCTGCACCGATCAGTCCTTAGCCACCGCAATTCGATGGCGAACGTCATTATCCTCCATGGACAACCATGTATCTACAGTCCGTACGCTCCTTGGAGGAACCATAGTATCGCAGGCGGGATCGACTATAGTCAGCGTGAGAGACGAGAACTCGCTTCCACTCTATGCCCTGTAGAATTTGCCTTCCCTCCAGTGACTAAACCTGCGGTCTGGAGGATACAGCATTCCAATACGAATGATCCATTGACTCAAGTTCAAGCACAAGCCAGTGCATCTGTCCAATTCTGATGCAGCGATTTGACTATTCCACTGGTTACCTATTCGTAAAGTATTTGATACAGACGACCTCCGCAATCCCCACTCAAGACCCATAATTCCATACCTTAGCGCTCCTCATTCAATACTCAGCTCACACATCGGCAGGCAAAAGTGAAAACGCGCAAAGCCGAACCGAATGAAATCGACACCGAGTCGGAATTCGGCATGTATCAAATCAATGCATCTTACCAGCCGTTTTGTTATGCAGTTGTGCACTCACTGTACCGTTACGTACCTTACTTCGTGGCATGTCCTGGTGTTTTCATAATCAGGGATGTGTGCAAGCAAGTGATGATATAGGTTAAACACATCCCTTGATCTTCTGCTGGATTCTAATAAAGAGATTGAGGTGTTGCTGTGGCCGATGACTGACTCGTAATTT